ACAATTGGACCATTCTACTCGGTTCCGGATTAAACTTTCTGACAGCTTGCGATTTTACAAGAGAACGGGGTTAGATTAGCCCCAAATGTGAATCAACATTACAGGACCGTACACTAGTTTATTTGTGTAAAGAAACGCTGCCGCCGAATAAACTTTGGATTAGTATCTTACTTCGTTCATCTACAGGCATTTAGAGTAAGGTTGAGGTAGCCAACCAAATCATGAGATGCTCCATTAATATCGCGAAGTTAAATGTATAAAAGGCGACTATGGTTGCAGCCGGTAAACTTTTCTCCTGGTTTAGTAAATCTTTACTCAATTTTGTGAATTGTGGATTCTTGCACTAATGATGTCTGTCACAATATAGACGAAAGCCTAGCACAAATTAATCGGGGTGGCAGGACGGTGAGCCGAGTACTTCTTTGGGCATTAAATGAATTTCTCCCAACCAACTTCAGCTTCGAAATGGAAAGACATGTCACAATACATCACTAAGGAACTCTTCGAAGCCCAGTTTTTTTTCATATAAATAATATTACTTCTTTTATCAAGTCTCTAGTGGCTGATTTTTTAAAGGAATTATATATATACAAGCATAAATAAAACGATTTTCAGTCACTAGTACTATTAAGCTTAGCACATAAATCACAATAATTACAATAAGTACTACAACCCAAAAAGCTTATAAGACGAAGTCTAGTTATCACATAATTTTGGCCATCCATAGATATCCTAAGATGAAAGCAGTTCCTAAATGGATACACATATATCCATGAGACACTAAGAGTTTGGAAAACCTTTATAATAGGAATATACGTGTTCTTATTCAAGCAGTAGATAGACAGTTTAGCTGAAGCGAACAGTAAAACTAAATGGGGCATAAAAAGCCATAAATTTGAGTCGCTTAAGAGACGAGTTATTAATAGAGCCGTTGTCAAAAATAAGGATGATACGAAAAGGAAGGAAAAGAATAAGAGTAACGACATGGAAATCCCGAAATCCAAAAGCATTTCTAGAAACGATCACCTATCAAAATTAGAAAAACATAAAAATGGGAACGAGAAAGGGAGGGTCAAATTACAGATGAATTTTAGAATAATAATTATAACAGGCGTATATGCGAACAAAATCATAGTATATAAATTATTCAGCTCTATCGGAACTGAATGGAGCAGAATTTCATTTTAGGAGTAATAATAACTAGGAAACAAAATAGTTGTGCAATAATCATAGGTGGAATGGAAATTGCCCAAATGACGCCCACAATATTTACGAATATATAGGCCCTATTAAAGAAACATTTGATCTTTCTTATGAATTACGAGATATGAAATATTTATATCTCAAAGCAAACAGGAAGTGAACATCTGGAGATACTGAATTAATGGTGGAATAAATGACCTTAAGAATACATAAAAACAAAAAAATCCTTTCTCACCATTCGATGAACCTGGCACGAATGGGCGCGATTGGCTCGCCTGAACAGCAGTTGTGTGAGCTTGAGCTGCACAAGTACTGGGCCCAGAGACTGTAACAATGTTCATTGCAGAACGCGAAGTATGAGCTGACGATCGGAAGGCCATAATTCCTAGATTATGTGTCAAATGAGCCCGACTGGTCATAGAGTCCTCGCCAGCAGTAGGATAACGATAGACATTAGGAAGGGGAAGTGACTGCTCTGAAATGCACATCTCACCAGTAGGGCTTGGGATGAATTGCGCCCGAGTGCTGCTGCTAGTCGTACTATTTGTGTTGCCTACTGTGGAATTGTTGGACACCGTAGAGGCTAGAACAAGACTTGTTGATATAGGACAGAGTGGTGAAGAAGGCGTGGAAACCGTATGAGGGACGGCTAATGCAGAATCAGAGGTTCTCTTGGCTTGAGAATGACCAAGGGCCAAAGAAGTGCTTATCGGCGTGCGGATGGCGGGTCGACCGGAGGACTGCAAAATGTTGTGAAAACAAGTAATATGATTGGGATAAAGATAATTTAATATATTAATTCAAGTTAGTTAAAAATTGCATTATTATCAGAACTTTGTCCGGAACATGTTCACCTAACCGGAGGTAAGCATTCTTCTTGGTGTATATAGTAGATCTTCGTGATTTTAGAATTTAGCTGAAAGGTTTAGAGGAAGCGAAAAGAAGATAAATGGTGTATAACCTAAAAGAGACTCAAAAATATTGACAGATAAATAAAGATATTTAGGCTTGTAAAGAAAGATAAACAGGCAGGCAGGCAGACGGATAAAGATATTTTACATATGAAAATACGAAGAAGCGATAAAATAAAATAAACAGAAACTAATAGAAGGATAATAAATAGCTGTCAATAAGACAATCCCATTTTGTTTAACGTAATGAAGGACTGGTAGTCGAATTTTCCCACAACAATATGAGTAAAGCTGACGTCTTCAGCGAATTTCATATAGCCTTGCTTTTCCAAAAGGTGTAATCCAGGGTGGACTGCAATTCGACCTCGCCTAGCTCTTATAAACGACCCCATCGGGACTCGATCCATGATACTGCAG